TTTTTATCGAGATCATAAAACAATCACACGAGTATACTTTTTCGTTTGTTTTTGTTTGTTTAAATGTCGAACGTATTTGAAACAGAGTCGCGTGATTTGAAATATTTATTCCCATTTAAATGACTCTCTTCTCTTCTCTTCTCTCTCTCTCTCTCTCTCTCTCTCTCTCTCTTTTCATAACATATTTTTTTTTTATTCAGCAACATACTCCTCTTTCTAATTTCATTTTTTATTTTTTTTTATATTTAATAACGACGTTCTCTTCGTTGTCGCGGATAATTAGAAATTACCGCGCTTTTTCATTCACTTCTTTTTTGACATTGATTTTATTTTTTCATATGTATGTGTGGTACGTATGTATGTATGTATGTATAAGAGTTTGCGTATCGCAAATTTTCTAATATCTTTCCTAATATTTCGTATTAATTTACACAAGTCATTTAAATCGTTTGCAATTGAATTTCATTGTCTAAATCATTGTCATTATGAAACAGGTGTGTGTGTGTGTGTGTGTCTGTGTGTAGATGTATGTATATATGCAATATTGATGAGTAAATATAGCAATACGAACGTGTTATTTTCTTTCAGTTACATACGTGCGTATTTTTTTATTTTTTATTTTTAAACTTGTTTCGTGTGTGTGTGTGTATGTGAGAAGGGAGAGAGAAAGAGAGAGAGAGAGATAGAAAGAAAGAGAGAGAGAGAGAAAGAGATAGTGAGAGAGAAAGAGAGAGCTCGTGTGTCTCCAAGTATAGCGTGTTAATTTTATTTTATTTTTTTATTTTATTTTATTCTTGTAATTATTATTATTATTATTATTATTTTTTTTTTATTCACGTAGTTTGTATAGACTATCTATTTTATTAGAGTTTACGTTTTTATTTTATTTTATTTTATTTTATTTTTTTTTTTATAAATATCTTATAAGTTAAGATGCGCCCCGCCTTTGTTCGCTTTTAAACATCCTTCTTTCGATCGTGCGCTTTTTTTTTTTGTACGAGGGTGTTAACGAGAATAACCGAGAAAATACATTTTTTGCGATCGATGTGTGTAATATGTATGTATGTATGTATGTATGTGTTATATGTTTGGTTTGTGTATGTAAATGCGTTTACGTGGTTGTGTTGGATGTTCGTCGTCTAACGCCTTCGTTAGTTTTCATTTGATTTAGCTAGGGGGTGTAAAACGATCGGCAGAGCAAGCAGAAGGGTAGTTTCATTGGATACGAACGAAACGTGAGAGAAGAGTACAAGAGAAAGGGAAGGAGGAAGGAAGGGAAAAAAGGGGGTTGAAAACGAACAACGAACAAACGAACGGAAGTGAATTGTTCGTCGTGTCTGCAAGGCTTCTGATTGAAAACAAAACAAACAAAAAAATATTACAGTAGTAAAATCAGGGGAAGGTTTTTGACAAGGTTTTGAAACAATGAGGATGGGGAGGGGATAGGATGTGGGGGGGGGGTAGGGTTAACAGGGGGATAACTAGAAAAAGCTCGAACGTCGCGGAAGGAAAAAGTTTCAAAGGGATGAAGTAAAAGGAAAGAAGCAGCAGTAGCAGCAGCAATTGCAGTAGCAGAACAGCCCCAACTACATCTGATTTTTATTATATATTTTTTTTCTTTTTCTATCCTTCAATCTCGTCAATACTTAACTTTTTCTTTTCTTTTTGTTGGCGAAAGAGGCCTATACGCGTTTAAGATATTGGAAATAGATAACTAGAGGAAACCGATCAAGTTTATTTTAATCGATCTACTTGCTTAAAACACTATTTGGTAAAACGTTCGATTTGAATAATCAACGAGATCATTCATCTCGAATTTATTTAAGTTTCTTAGTTTTTTTTTTTTTTTTTAATTAATTAATTAATTTATTTATTTATTTCTTCTTCTTTTTCTTCTTCCTTCGTTCTGTTTTTCTTTTAAGGATTGTACGAACGGAACGCTTATTTTTATTTTTTTATTTTATTTTATATTTTAAAGACGTATCTCGTAGACGAAATATTCTCGTATTTTTAGTCTGTCCAAATGCATTCCTTCTTCTCTCCCCCTTCTCCTACCCTACCCTACCCTTATTTCCTTCTTCCTTAATTTTCTATATTTCTTATTTTTTTATTTTTTTTGTTTATTCGTTAATTAATGATTATCTTAAAGAAACAAAGGAAGATAGTGCGACGACAGTCATCAAATACGAGAGCCCGGTCCAAATTTCATTTTAACGGAGAGAATATTTTGTTTTGTTTTGTTTTGTTTTGTTTTGTTTTGTTTGTTGTTGTTGTTGTTGTCGATATTTTAATAATAGTATGTCTCTCGTTAATTTATTGGGACCGAGATAATAACGCGTTTTTTTATTTTTTATTATTTTTATTTTTATTTTTAGTTTCATCTTGTAACAATAGTATTATTCCGTGCTTTATTTATTTATTTATTTTTTTTTGTCTTCTTTTCTTTTCTTTTTTTTTTTTAGTTTATTTGATTTATTTCTTTCTTTCTTTTTTTTTTGTTCGTAGTCTTCTTTGGTACCCGTAGAGAGGTCCTCGTTTTGATAATTGAAAGTTTTTGTCTTTTCCGCATTGACGCCGTGCGAAGAGAAATTTTACGTGAAATTATTGAAGATTGAGAGAAAGGGGGATGAAAAAAAGGGAGGAAAAAAGAACAAAATAAGGATAATAGGAAAAATATTTATGAAAAAGAGATGATTGCGAAGAGGGATAATTTCTTCGATTAATTAAACTTAACTAGTTCGCGAATCGGTAGGCTTTTTCCTCGCGAATGTGTTAAAAGATTAATGGGGGTAGGGATAGGGGGTAGGGGGGAGGAGGGAGGGATGGTGAGGAAGGCGAGGTTTTAACAGAGGGAGGATTCGAGTGCTCGCGAGGAATCGAGTTTTGGATCGAACGAATTCGTCGATGTAAGTTTATAGAAAATCGGAGAGATCCGATTGATTTCACCATAGATTACATTCCTCCCCTCTTCCCATAAACGATGATCGAATAAGTGATTTGTTTACACGCATGTAAACATTCATTCATCAAGAGGATTTCAATATGTTTCCACTCGACTTGACTAAACCACTTGGATAAGGGAGGACGTTGTTTTCTCTCTCTCTCTCTTTTTATTTCTTTTGATCTCTGCTTTTTTCTTTTTCTTTAATATATATTATATTGTTTATATATATGTATCCTATACCTCCGTGAGACCGATAAAAGATTTTTACCGTCGAATTGTCGAGCAACGCTCATATATTTTGAACACTTCACAAGGGGGGCGGGTGGGATGGGATCACGGCGATTTTACTACTCGTGTAAATTCGTAAATATTGTTCGTCATCGATTGTTTCGACGATTACAAATTCTTCGCCATAATTGTTCTTTTTTTTTTATTTTTTTTTTTTTATCATCACCTTTTTGTTGTTCCCTTTTTCGATTATTTGAAACTCCCTCGAGAACGTTCGATAGCGATCTCGATCACGTTTATTATCACGACGTTGTTGTTGTTGTTGTGTTGTTGTTATTATTATTATTGTTAATATTATTATTATTATTAATATTATTATTAATATTGTTATATTAATTATTAATTATTATTAATTATTATTTTTTCTGTTTTTAATTATTTTTATCATTGCTTCATTCTCGAGGAGCCATTGCAATCAGCGCTGACAATTTGTCGAGACGGCGAGGTTCTCTGTCAGTAGACCCAAGAAACCGGTACCCATTGTGGCGTCGTGTGAACTCGTTCGATAGCTGCCTCCAATTGGGCGATCGTTTCCTCAATGTCGTTGTTTACGATGGTCAGATCGAAGAAATGTCCATATGCGTGTTTCAACATGTCCGATTCCTTCGCCAACCGTTCCAGGCTACCGTCGTACTACAAATTGACATATATTTCATGATAATAAATACAAATATGAAAATGTTTAACATATTTCTTTTTAACGTGTGTACAATAATTTGAATGTTGAAACATACGTCGGTGATATTTTGAAGTACTGGTGCTGCAATGAATACAACGTAAGGTGCAAATTCTGCCGTACGTAGGACTTTCAATGCTTGAGGTTCAACATCCAATATCGCCATTCTTCCTTCTTCGTGAATCTTTCGAATAGTTTCCAATTTTGTTCCGTACATGGCATCCTCGTGCGTTCCTGAATATTTATTGTTTCAATTTTGAACATTTTATTGAAAGAAAAATGTTCCTTTGTTATTTAATAATGTAATATTACTAACCATATTCGAGGTATTCGTTAGCAGCTATGTCGGCCATCATCTCGTCGTGTGAAACGAAATAATAATTACGTCCATTTTCTTCGTCGGTTCTTGGAGGCCTCGTTGTATCTATAAAGAAATCATATAAATTGTTGAAACAAATTTTTGTTCATTTTATTTTATTGGATTGGCAACTAAGTCATTGCTGATTTTAAAAGGCATCGATAATATTCGCAATTATTTACTTGGCCCAATCAAATATTATAAATTTAAAGTTAAATTTTTTAATAGTTTTATTAAAAAAACTAAATATCGGTCGAAATATTATTAATTAATTATTTTTTTTTACTTACGCGGAATAGGATAGGCATATTTGTCGGGATGTTTTGCTATAATCGTATTTTTGATATGCCGACGACCAACACCGTGTGCTCCTAATAGAACCAGAGTCTTGCGTTGGAAGGCAGGATCTGTATAAAAAAGAAATATATACATATATAACGTAATCGTAGTCCTTTCTTCAAATTATATTTTAATATAATAATTAATACTAACAGGGAAGTTTGACAACTTCCTCGTAAGTGACCAGGTCCAGCTGATCGAAGACTGCGTTATGTTTCGCAAGATACTTGTCCTTGTATTGTTTCTTCTTACGTCCAAATATCGAGCAATTTACTGTAAAACAAAGATCAACGTGTTAACCATATTTGTACAAATACAAAGTGACCACCAATTTTGACAATCTTATCTCAAAAAATTGAATAACTTTAAACGGTGTATCTGTTTCATTCGTCATGTGTGAATTTAACAAACTCAGCCAGTATTTTATTTTTTGTTTTGTTTTGTTTTTTTTTTCTTTCTCATAAATTTGTAAAAGCAACAAGTCAAGCTAATTCACAATGGTAAATTCTAAGAACAAAATCATTACTATGATAACAATAATAATAATAATAATAATAATAATAATTCTGCAATAAAATGTATTGTCATAAAATGCTGGTACAGTGGAACTCGTGCAACTAAATTACTTTGCGAGCATTCGAAGAATAATCTTTAAAAAGCATAACAATATTGCGGCTTTTTTAAATATTTTTTTTTTTTTTTAATCTTTTTTTTCAGAGCCAAGTGTAAATCGATGAAATTACAGTGTCTCATTTATTAATAACTTTTGTTTTAAAGGAGAAGCTTCCTCGGGGACCTTTTTTTTTACGGGATCAGCTTGCTTACCGTCGGCCATTCTAATTTTTCCTGATGAACGTATAAAAATGAGAACAAATGATTTCCAATGAAAAGAATGATACAAGATAAATCTACAAATTATCCTCATATGTTTTCATATTGATCGATGAATCCTAATGAAGTCATTTTCTCGAACTAACAACAAAATCATTTTGAAAAGAAGCCCATAATCGAAATAAAACAGATGGGAATTCCCATTAAGAGGAATGTTCCAGCAGGTCGCAATATAAAAATGTCAAGGACGATGTCAAGAGGAGCTTCGGTCACTCTTATCTGTTTTTTTTTTTTTTTTTTTTTTTTTATGCGTGAAGTTTCCAAAAGAAATGTCACAATCTTGTATGTATACATGTGTGTATGTGTATGTTTGAAACGATGTGCGCTTGTTTGCATATATTGCTTGTTAATATTTATTAATTAGCAAGAAGAAAAGAGGAATTGTGTGCTACATAAGCGTTAAATGAAGTGCGTGACACGATTTGCTTAGAGGAGTTATGGCATGCATCCCTTTAAGAAAGCAATAAGTCCAACGGTTCAAGGATTTCGATGGTCTTTCAATATGTTGAAAATTAATTACTCGTAGATATTCTTTTAATTTTTTTTTTTATATATATTTTTTTTTTATTATATTATTTTATTACATTTCATTTCAACTAATTAAAATATCATCGAATTGTGTACTGTTACCGTTGGTAATATCGTTTCTTTTTTTTTAATTTTAAGAATGAAAAAAGAGAGAGATAGAGATAGAGATAGAGATAGAGATAGATTTTAATAAAGTGTTTTTGAGTTGAAAAAACGAAGGTTAGTTAGTAGAAGTTTCTCTCGTGTAATTTTACGTTTTTCTCTTTTTTTTTTTTTTGCTTAATTAAATTTATAGAAATGTATTTAAAAAATTAAAACACAATATGTGTGTTACGTTTGGATAACACAAAGATATATATAATAATTATTATATTATATATAATATTTAATATTTATTATTTGTTATATATAATAATATATAATTTAATATATATTATATATACATAATATTATTATTACATTATATATAATATAATAATATTAATTTATATTATATCAATTAATATTATATCATATACTATAATATATATTATAGAAATAATTATTTAAAATTATTCCTCTCTTCCTGCATGGATATAAAATTGATTGATTTAAATAATACACGCTGAAAAATGAATATGTTAATTAAAAATTGTATTTAACGTTAATGAACGTGTTTATGGATTACAGGTAATATTATAATTCACATTAATGTGTATCGAGTAATCGAGTTATGTAATTTATGATGAGCTAATGAAAAAAAAAAAACAGATTATGATAAAGAGTAGAAAATATATATAACGAAGCCCATATTATTTCGAGTCGTTCACATCGCTCGCTGTGTTCATTTCTGCAATTTCGACGAATAAAACGCGTGTGTTTATAAAGCGTGGGAACGATGTATATATAGATATATATATATTAATAGTGTTTGTATTTTTTTTTTTTTGCTTTTTTTGTTGTTATTGTTGTTGTTATTGTAGTTCATGCGACTACGCGTTCCTACATGATGACTCTACGCGTATCTACCTGAAGGCAGGCAGGGTCATACCTGTCGAACCGTCGCAGCCTTCGGTGTGAGAAGAACATCCACCTTCTCCTTCAGCATCTAGCCCACATAACACAAAACAATATTGATATATCATAACAACCATCTGTTTTTTTTTTATTTTTTTTTTTACTTTTTTTTTTTTCTTATTTTTAGCTGTTAAAGTCATTATGTCAGACTTTATTCTTCGAGATTTAGTTCCTCTTTGAATTGTCTCCTTTGCGGTAGCAGGTTGATTCTTTCATTCGATTTTTTACTAATTGTATTAACATCATTTTCTCTTTTTTTTTTTATTTATTTATTATTATTTTTTTTTAAGAACAATTAATTTTCAGCTTGTCACAGTGAGTTTTTTTTGTGTGTGTGTCTATCTTCTTCATCGTACTCCCCCTCCTTTCTTTTCTTTCCATTTTTTTTTTTCTTTGACAATCAGAATTAAGGATTCCAAAGAGGAGGGGGGGGGGACATATAATAATAATAATAATAATAGTTTGTTTATTATTTAATTATTATTCGTATCGATAGATAATTCCTGCGATCTGCTGGAACTTCCGTACTTTGATGTTTTTTATTTTGTATTTTTATTTATTTTATTTTATTTTTTTTTTTTTTTTTGAGTGTCAGTGTGTGTCATTTTTTTTCTGTTCTCCTTTGAAAAACATGGATTTTCACGTATTTTTTTATTTTTTTTTATTTAAATATATACTAAAAATGTTCATACGATCTAACCTAATTGTCAATTGTGAATACGACTCGCTACTACGGATTTCGTAATAAATAATTAATATTAATAATTTACTTTAATAAAAATTTCAACGATGATTCTACAAATCCTAAAATTAATTATAACTCATTTGCTATATACACACATATATATAATACACACATACCTACATAATATACACAGAACGTATTTACGAACAGCTGTGAAATATATTTATTATTATCGAGATAAATAATCATTTCTAATTTTATTCAATAACATTTTATTTTTTCTTTAATTTTTTTTTTATATTTTTAATTTCATGATAAATTTGTAAAAAAACAAAAAAAAAAAAACAAGAAACTGGGGATCAAA